CCATGCCCATCAATTAAACTGGCAGCCAGTGGCCATTACGCGCTCATCAACGCACTTAGCTCTGAGATGGAATTAAGAGAGAGAGAGAGAGAGAGAGAAAGTGAGCGAGATAGATAGTCAGGGGGTGATAAGTCGAGAGTGTGAGGAAGAGAATTAACTAGCACTGGGAAGCGGTTGCAGTTCAATTAACTGCCAGTTGCAGTTACAGTTCCAGCTGCAGTCGCAGTTAACCAACCGACCTTTAAGTGCCATCCACCCCTGCCGCAGCGCGCCCCATCCCATTGTCAGTTCAAGTGTCAAAATATAGAGCTAACACGATATGCCACGAAAAGCTAAACTGTACTTTGTTCTACCAATTAACAGTTTGCCTCTAAATGCAACTTTTTCTGGCTCAGGGCTAGGCAAGATTCTTACTTTTAGAAGTGTTAGCATACCATACAAATTATTCGAATTGTATGAAACTCATATTATTTATAAGAAATAGAATTAGTTTATATGTAATACGTTTTGTTTTCGTGGTATTTTCAAAGATTTATCTGAGATAGGAATGCTTCAAGTCTTATCTAAGCAAACTAGAAAATATTTTGAATTCATGGGAATAATAATTCGTGTATTTTGAAAATTACCATAGATAGATATATGAATAAATAGAAAAATAGATTAATAGATTGAAAGATTGATAGATATATATATGGATAGATAGATAGATAGACAGATATGGATAGATAGATAGATAGATAGATGGATACTTAGATATTGAAATAAATAAAAAAATATATATATAAAGATTATTATAAATTATAATTTAATCATTTGCCTACATATTTAGTGGCTCAAAATAGATTAGGCAAGTTATAGTTCTCTGAAAAGCTTTTTGAACTGTAAGCCTCTAAGCCTGTAATTGTGTTGTTAACATAATCCTACACATTTAAGCTGAGCATTTATTAGTTAAGCGCATTAGCTAAATACTTTATATATATTTTTAATGAACTTCAAGGTATGCGAGTTGTTCAACAATTAAAAATCATTGAGTAAATAAACAAATAATGAATTATGTAAATAAATGGGCTTAAAAACAACAAAGCTATAGTTCGACTTGGGTTTTATGTCTGTCAGTTGTCAATTGTGAATTGAGCGCATTTATGTGTTCACAATTGTCGTAGTTGTAGCTGTAGCAGCGGGAGTGAGAATGAGAAAAGTGAGAACTGGCATTTAAGGATTCCAGAGAAATCTATTTATTTTTTTCTCTCTCTGTTTTGGTATCATTTGGTTTTTGAAGGGCAAGGGGGCTGGTGGCGGGGGACGCACATTAACAACAGCTGGCAGAGCTTACAAAGTCACAGTAATTAACTTGAAATTATAAAAATAAAAATGTAGCAGAAGAAGAAGAGGAAGCAAGAGAAACGAAGAAGAAGAAGAAGAAGAAAAACAACTAAATGCATTTCTACACGCAAATGAAATCGAAACCGAAAATCGGGTTAAAACAAAACAATACAAATGCAATGCGACGGGGCGTGACGTGCAATGGGGACGCCCCATGTGGGTAGGGGTTGGGTTGGAGGCGGGGGGCTTCACCGTATGAGATGCGCCATGAAAATTGAAAATTGTCAAAAAAAAACAAAAGCAAAGAAATAAAGAAGAAAAAAAGCAAACAACAAGACGACGACGACGAGCAACAAATTAATCAATGTAACTGCGACTGCGACGCCGACGGCGACAACTGCAGCGACTGCAAATGAGAGGAGTGCAGCAATAACAACAACAGCAACAGCAACAACAGCAAATAGGTAAACTGGGTTTGAATTGGTGGGTGGGCAGTTGGCGGGGTATTGTGGGGCGCAGGGCTGTTTGATGCAGTTATCTACGCAGCGTTTCAATTTAATTTGCTGTGCAGCTAACTCCCCGCTACCGTTACCCCGCTCTCGCTCTCGCTCACGCTCACGCTCTTTCGCGCTATCCCTCTCTCTTAACTATGCGTGCTTGTCTGTGTGTGTGTGTGGCCCAAGACTTTCGTTTTCATCTTAGTTGTTGTTTTAGTTAAAATCATTAAATCTTCTGCTTGTTGTGCTGCATGTCTCTCTGTGCGTGTGTGTGTGTGCTGTTTGTCGAATGTTTCTGTAGCTGTTGTTGTTTTTATTGTTTATTGTAGTTGCAGTCAGTGCTGTTAACAGTCGGCAAATGGGTATAGCTATGAAGTTAGTTAACAAGTTGGCGATTCGCTTTCACTGCGCGCCGGGCCCGAGCCTAATGCGTATTATTATTGTTGTATACCCTGTAGTTATCGCAAATGCGTTCACATTTTTTCTGACTAGCCGAAAATGTCGTATGAAAATGTAGTTCACGATTCTAGCCAATTGCTGATGTCGTTGATGGCCTCATGACGGCCTGGCTGACATGTCATCGAAGGTGTCTTGTGACTTACTAGCTTTCATGTCTTTTAACTCGTCAGGCGTCCATTCACGCATCATTTTTTCAGGTAACATAATAATACGGCCTTGTTAAATTAAATTGAACTTTTTGTAATCAATTTGAGAGTCAGAAAAGTGTTAACTCGAAGACAACGTTGCTGACACGTCAAGGAGAGTGTCCTGCCCATTGCAAGTCTTCAAAAGACGCGTCTGCTTGTGTGCTGACAACAGGGTATCTTTAAGCCGGATACACCTGCTGGTTCAAGCTATATTCTTATTGTTGTTGTTGTTGTTGTTTTAATTACACTGCTCTGCGTGTTGAGCTGCGTATCTGACAGATACACAGTACTGACACACACACACACACACAAACACACACACACACACACACTCACTCACTCACTCTCACACACTCACTCACTCACACACACACACACACGCGCGAACACATTTCTGTGCATGTTGAGCTAAAGTTTTTGATTTGATTTCTTCTTCTTATTACTTGGGATCTATGTCGTCAAGTGACAACAGATGACGCAACTTTCCCAAAAACAAAAACTTGGCTACGGTTTCTATTTATGTGTAAATGCATGTATGTATCTATGTTTCCCTTTGACGCTGCCTTTGGCCGACGCGTCGCCTGTTTCGCCTGTTGCCTTTGGCCATTGTTGTTGTTGCCGCTCAATTTCCATTTTGGAAATAACTCAGTTTGCTGTCAACGTCATGCGATTCGTTTGTATTCATGTTATGTTCTCTTGGCTCAGTTTCTATGTCTCACTCGGCGCCCCCGCCAGTTGCCTGCCGCCGGCGGCCTAGGCCAAGCGGCAGCAAGATCCGAAAGGAGTTTTCTTTGAATATAAAATACACACACACACACACTTGTACAGCTGTGTGTGTGTGTGTTGCATTTGTGCATTTGTATTGCGGCAACAAATGGTAAACATGTGTTGCAAACTTGGCGGCATGGTGAGCGCTATTTGAAGTATTCGTATGTAAATATCTCCATAGATACACACACACACACACACACTCTCTCTCTCTCACACTCACACACACACATTGATTGAGCTCGCATTTGCTGTTGCCTTTTGCTTATGGATCATGTTCAGATTGAAGATCGCGAAACGGAACAGCAAATTTTGAAGAAAACAAATATCAAACATCTTGATACCAACATTTTCCCTTTCTACAGTGAAAACCCTCTTGAGTGAACACCTAAAGTTCTATTCATTTTGTACGCTAGAGAGATCTAGAGATTATTCTTCTAATTTTGATATCTGAGCTTTCAGCTCTGGCAGTGAGAACAGGGGCGTTGTCCTGCTGGAAAATCGAATTATTCCCTTGAAGGAAGTGTGCTTTATTTTACATTTCAAAGAGAGAATGCAAATTCCTCATATTCCCGAAGAACTAAGATACTTATATGAATGTATGTATGTACATATGTACGTATAATTATGAATATGCAGATCTGTGAGTCGGTCTTGGGTTCGGTTTACTTTTGTTTTGTAGGCGCTGGAGGCCAAAATTGAAAGCGGCGCAAAAAGCGCACTTGATGCGAATATTCGAGTTCGAATTCGGTTTGCTTTGAAAGGGTTGAGTGTGCCAGGGTCTGGGTCTGGGTCTCCGTCTTGGTCTCGGTCTCAGTGTCGGTGTCGGTCTCTTCTTGGTATTGCCAACTGTGGCTCGGGGCCGCGTTTCGTGCTGCTGTTACGGTTGCGATGCAAAGGCCGCACAAAGCCGGAGGCTAGCGGCAGCTTAAAGAGTGGGCTCAAAATTGCAGTTTGATATGCAGAGAACACACACACTCACACACACAAGCTTTGAATTAAATGCTCTGCTTGTGAGTGTAAAGGAGCATATCAGTTGTTGCTGCACGAAACTTGCTAACAGAATTTGGTAGCATGGGTCACAGTTTGAGTGTCACATTCGTAGCGCCACAGTTTGAAAGTCACTGGCCGCATTGTCAAGAAGGCGGTCATAAGAGTATTGCGCAGTCGGCCTACTTGCTCGTTTGTTTTTTTTATTTTTTTTTTCATCAATTGCTGCTTAACTGCAGCTTCTACTCCGCCCCCGATTCACAAAGTTTCTTTATTGTCGTTTGTCGTTCGCCTCGGGTTTGGGTTCTTGTTCTTGTTCTCGTGCACAAGTACAAATAGTTCCTGGAAACGCGAACGCAAATCGAAAATTTAAATGCAACGAATGCGTGTTGAGTGTTGAATTTTGTATAAATATGCCGCAAAAGGGAAATTACAATAACAAATGCATCAAATGTATCAAATGCAAGGCGTGCGGCAATTAAAAATGCGCGGAATGAACGGCATAAGCACAAAGCAAAACGAGCAGGAAACACGAAAGGGAATCGCGAGAAACTGATAAATTGATCAACACTGAATTTTGAATCTATGCAACAACAACAGCATGGAAATGCATCTGTCTCTCTGTGACAGTTGCAGTTGCAGTTCCAGTTCCAATGTTCCAATCTTCCAATGCTCCACTGTTCTCAATTGCCATTTCGCATCGAAATGCAACGCGCAAATATCAAATGCAAAAGCAAAAACCACAATAATTTGCAATTGTTCTTTGTGTCGTTACCTTTTCTTTCTGCTCCTCTGCTCTCGCTGTCTATTACTGTCTCTCTTGTGATCGCGCTGATATTTGTAGTCTGCTTTTTTTCTTTCTTATGTTTTGTTATTTTTTTTTTTTTTTTTTTGTTTTTTGTTATGTGTGTTTTGTGAAGGTGAAGTCACTGCACTTTTGTTTTTGCCGTTTTGCCGTTTTGCTGTTTTGCTTTTCAATATGACAGCTGCTGCGGCAGCTAGTTATGCGGCCGTTTGTTCTTATTCTTTCGGTCAAATAGGCAACAATTGTTGTTTCTGCGTATTGTTGTTGCTTCAGTTGCTTTCTTTTTGTTAATCGTTAATTGCAGTTGTGCTTGTGTTTGTGTTTGTTACTGCTTAGAACACACATATGCAAGCGCCTCACAGCTTTTGGTTTAGTTTTTTTCTTTGTGCTTGTTTACTTGCATTCGCTTTCGTCTGTTATTTGACTTTACACTTGTTGCTATTGGCGCGGCTGCTTTGTGCCGTCGCCGGCGCTGGCTTTCGGCAGAAGAGGAACGACCGAAATTAACAAAAATAAAAACCAAAAAAAATTAGAAAAAAAAACTCACAAACACTCAGAGTAAACACACGCGCTGTGCACTTAATTGTATAACTTTATTTGTCGCAAAACAAAAATCGTACTCGCATCAATTGATAGCCAATTGCAATTGCACTGCAAATGCAACGAAGATTTATAATTCGAATTCACAGATTTTAACGGCGACTGCACGTCCTCAGACCTCGACTTCTGAAATAAGACTGTTCTGCTAAGTTAACAGACGCTATTAATCCAGGGAAACTGAGACATACTCATGAGAGCTGCTAAATACTCAAAAGAGCTGTTAACCGCTACTCGCTGTTAGCTCTCACGCAACTGTTAACTTAACAGTGCGCTCTCAGAGAGCACACAACATTGCCGCTGTGCGCAATGTTAGTATTATAAGTTATTTCTTGTCTTAACAATTCTGGCGCAATTCATTGTTTGTTTTTGCTATTTTTAAACACTTGGCTTAAAATAAAGTATTTGTTTATTTTATTAATATTGCATTTATTTATTTTGTTCAATGGAATTTGCAAAAATCGAATTCATTCAGTATTATCTACATTTGGGTAAACATTCAAATATTATTATTATACATACACATATGTGATCATATATTTAACCAAAATATTCTCGCTCATTTATTAAACATAAATAGGGAAACGCTTGCACGTTTTTCCATTGCCAGCGAGCGCACTGTAAACAAAACACGGTTTACTCACAAATCGTTGCTACTGTAGCGATTCAATCGAAATTTTATGAATGAAAACGGAAAATGAAGAGCTGACATACCGGAGCGCAGCTTAAGAGCGAGCGAGAGCGTCGATCGGAGAGTCGTGCAATTGCATTTCCCTTTTCAGTACTTGTTTATGAAGGTACCCAGCAGGCATGTTAGGCATGCCTTTTGTAGTGCCATTTCACAACTATATGTTTTTGATATATGTATGTACATATGTATGTACATGTATATGTGCGTGCAAGTTGGCACGTGATTGTGTGGGTTTAGAATTGTAAGATGACTTTTGTTTATTTTAACCCACTTCTGTGAACAATTTAAACGAGCATAGAATCTTTGTTGCCCATATGGCATAGGAGGAGGTAAAGGCTTTGTTTGCGCTGCGTCGAGGAGAACGAATGTTGAATTCAGTACTTTTTTACATATTCCATGTTCCTGGTTGACAAGAACACACACCACAATAGACTTACGCACACATACACATGCACACACACAAACATTCACATATTGCACAGAATTCTTCCGAAGCCATGACGCAAAAAGTCTGCCAGTTGTGCCTGTCGCTGGGTTTTTTGCCCATTCAAATTGCATATGGTAAATAACAGCAATTGGGTATTGGAACTTAGGACTTGGCCTGGAACCGTCGCCGATAACTTTGCACGGTTCCGCTTTTTAATACTTCAGATCGAGAATCGAGATCGGAGCAACACGTATGACACACCCGCATACAAAGCATACACAAAATTCAGTGAGCGGGGCAAGAGAGGGAGAGAGAAAGAGAGAGTGCGGGAGCGAGCGTGAGCTGGAGCGAGTGCGGCTTAGGGAGATGGCGTTAGCTGATTGAGAACAATAGTGGCACCGGAAATTATTGCATCTGTTGTTTTGTGTTTATTTCACCGCACTCCTTCAGTGTCTTCTTCCAAATGAACATATAAACGTTCCAACATACAAATATAAACATGTGTGAGTGTATGTATACATATTACTTGTATTTTGTTTTGCGTTTGTTTTGTGTTTTCGCTTTTCAGGTCTGGCTACACTTGAATTGTTTTCAGCCTCTGTTTCGAGTTTCTACAATACGACAAATTCTGCTGAAATTTTCAATTGCCTGGCAAAAAGAAATATTAAGAACCCCCGCGCATTTGAGCGACAAGCGGGGACGCCTGCGCAGAGGCGTTAACAGCAGCGTCCGCGTCTATGTTAGCTTCAAGTGCAAAGTGCAATTGTGGCCACCCTCGCCCCTGTGCCGACGCTCTTCCTGTAGCAAACACATAAACATGTCTGTTACATGTACAGAACAATGGATAACAGTGAATGTGGCTGTTAAGCCTCTCACAGCAGTCACTTTGCAGGTATTTAACAGACCGCATTTGCTGTTCGCCTAGTAAACGAGCAACGCCGTGTGGGTGTGTGTGTGTGTGCCTGGTTAACAGCTGCATTAGCTTGCTGATAAGCTGATTGGAGCTGCAACCAATCGCTGTGTGTGTATGTGTGTCTGGTTAACAGCTGTATCCACTTACTGATAAACAGATTGGAGCTGCAACAATGCACCTGCATTGAGAGCCCTCGAATGACGAACTTTACACTGTACTAATAGATGTATTCTTTAAGCAACTGTAGCCGTTCTTGTTGTTGTTGTTGTTGTTAAGCCATCTCGGAAGCAGTGAGCCGACAGGCTGAGCAGGTAAGTAAGAAATCAAAGCTAAGATACAGATACGAATGGTTTTGTACACAAAGATGCAGATACAGCTGCGAGTAAACATCATAAATACTCGACTCCAAGACTCCTCTCGCCCCTCGACTGTTGCATTCATTCATGTAATTTCGCTTTTTATTTGCTTGTGTCTTCTCTCTCTTTCTCTTCTCTCTCTTTCTCTCTCTCTCTCTCTCTCTCTCTCTCTGTGCGTCTGTCTGTATGTCTATCTGCATGGCTGCTGTGTGGCAACTGAGGTTGCAGGGGCACCGATTCTGGGTGCAGAGCAGCAGCCGTTGGTTGCCTAGGAAGCATGTGAATCTTAAGCATTTCTCCCGGCCACGCTCGGTTTTCGCCATGGTGTTTTTGTTGCTCATGTTGAAAATTAAAGATAATTATGATTGCCGACAACAACAACAACAACAACAACAGAAACAGCAGCAGCAGCAAAAAAAAAAATAAAACAAAAAGCGCAGACGCATGTACCCGATGTTGCCACACAGAAATCATTCATGCTGCAAAACCGAACACAAGAAGCTGTATCTGTGTGTTGTGCTGTATCTGAGAGATACGCATCGTAGCAGGGGCAACAAATGATAATGATAAAAAAAAGTAAAATAAAGAATACCGAAACAGGTAAGAACATCCCAATGCTATGTTTTATGTTGTTTTTTTTTTATTTTTTTTAATTTTTTGATGAACAATACATACATAAATAAATTGAAAATAAGCACAAGACAAGCCACAGACAAAGAAATGCAGACATAGGTAGATACAGATACAGAGCCAGAGCCAGAGACAGAGACAGAGACGGAGATTGAGGCGAAGACAGGGACAGAGACGGAGATTGAGAGGCGGGCAGGCTCTCTCATGAACTGATGAACTGGCGCTGATAACAACCAAGTAGAACCGAAGGGCAGGGGCACAGCATATGTATATCTACACACACACACACACACACACACACTTGCACACACTCTCCGAAATTTGGTTGGTGAAAGAAATTAAGACAAATCAAACAGGTTTCTGCTCACTTGTCAGCCACAGCGCATTTTCCAATGCCTCGGTGGGCCTTCAAAGGCGGCCGTAAAACCAAAAATAAAGAAAGAAAAAAACCCATAGAGGAAAACCCAAAACTAATGCCTGGAAACACCAGGAAACACACAAGTATTTCTTTTTTGTTTCTATTTTCATGCAGGTAGGACAAAGAAAATGATTTTGTAATTAGAAAATGAACAAGTCACTGCCCAATTGGTGGGGAGGAAAACTCTAACCAGGGTTATTTCACTTTTCCAATGCGTGAAAAGCCAACAACAACCCCTTCAACGCCAACCCCTGCCAATGCCCACAACGAAAACCGCAGATAAATCAAAGTGCCAACAATAATAATAATAAATAAAGAATAGACCGAGAGCGTTTGTTAGATCAGGTAACTGCTTGAATGGGTAGCAGGGAAAACCCTTGAGCAGAGAAAACTTTGTGCTTCCTCGGAAAAGTCCAGTAAATTGTGCCGCCGTTCGAGCCTCCAGCTCATCCCTTGTCCATGGATTCGCTACTTTACTAAATCGAGGGGAAAAAGACTTGGAGCAGCTGCTCCGAGGAGCGGTTAACTCTCACAGACAGACATGCCTAGAACCGATATTGACAAGATGCTGCTCATAAGCTGGTAGCATTGAGATATGCTTGCAAATCGATCATTCTTATGGGAGCTCTATGGTACATAGTTCGATCCGTTCGATTTCGACAACTGTACTGCTTTTAACAGAAATATATTTATGGCTCTAAGACCGAAAGAACAGTTGGCATAGCAAAAAGCAGATGAATATGTCTATATTGACATGACTGTGGATACTTATCAAGAATAGATACACATACTTTACAGCGTCGTATGCGTGACGCATTTTGTGACAAGAGTAAATACTCTCTACAAGGGTTTAAAAACAAGCACGCACACACACCCAAACAAACAGACACACACACACACACACACTCACACACACAGAAACACGTAAGGACTCATCCTGTTGACAGTCTTTGCGCTTTGCTTGTCAATTGTTGCGCTTTGATTTGATTCGATTTCATTTTTTAGACGACTCGTTGAACAGGTAAACAAACACTCGAAACAAACGACAGCTGTTGAC